CTCTCTTTTTGATCTTCAGTACAATGTTCTCCTCGATGTTCTTGGAGTTCTACCCCATGTAATATTATTTTGTGGTGTGTTTGCCCAGATCCGATTAATTGTGGATTTATGATCAAATTATCTATGAATGTTATTTGAGTCTTTTATGAACTCTTTTATGCATGATTCGATATCTTTGTATTTCTCTTCGAATTATCGGTTTGGTTTGGCCAACTAGATTGGTTCTTCTTGCAATGGAAGAGGTGCTTAGTTTTGGGTTCAATCTTTTGATGTCCTCACCCAGTGACATAGTAGGGGTAGCGAGGAACGTATTGTATTGTTGCCATCAAGGGTAAAAAGATGGGGTTTTCATCATATTGCTTGAGTTATCCTTCTACATCATGTCATCTTACTTAAGGCGTTACTCTGTTATTATGAACTTAATACTCTAAATGCATGCTGGATAGCGATCGATGTGTGGAGTAATAGTAGTAGATGCAGAATCGTTCTGGTCTACTTGACACAGACGTGATGCCTATATTCATAATCATTGCCTTGGATATCGTCATAACTTTGTGATTTTCTATAAAGTGCTCGACAGTAATTTGTTCACCCACCGTATGTTTTCTTGCAAGAGAGAAGCCTCTAGTGAAACATATGGCCCCGGGGTCTATTTTCCATCATATATTTTCAGATCTGTAAATCAAAAAACCCAAAAATACCTTGCTGCAATTTATTTATATTTACTTTAGTTTGCTCTTTTATTTATCTTTTATACCTATCTCTATTAGATCACACTCTGGTTCGAGACCATGAAGGGATTGACAACCCCTTTTTCGCGTTGGGTGCAAGTGTTTGTTAGTTTGTGCATGTGCATAAATTGGAGACTTGCTTGTATCTCCTATTGGATTGATACTTTGATTCTTAACTGAGGGAAATACTTATCTCTACTTTGCTGCATCACCCTTTCCTCTTCAAGGGAAAAATCAACGCAAGCTTAAGAAGTAGGAGGCGCCTCCCTTGAGCTTGTGGTCCCCTCGGGCATCGTTTTGCTTGATTCCAATTCCCAAAAATCACATATATTCCAAAATAATTCTACATAAAATTTTATCGTTTTTGGACTTCGTTTGATATGGGTATTCCGCAAAACAAAAAACATGCAACAAATAGGAACTGGCACTGAGCACTGGATCAATATGTTTGTCCCAAAAATAATATTAAATGTTGCCAAAAGTATATGAAAGTTGTAGAATATTGGAACGAAACAATCAAAAGTTATAGATACGACGGAGACGTATCATGAAGATGTGTAATCTCGCGAGATTTAGTCTGGTGTTGGTCTTTGGTGGCTTTGCTTGGATCCAGTTCGTTCAAGTGATGTCAAAGTTGGATCCTTCCAACCTAAACTTTGGCGACGGTTGTTATTTTGATGCGCTAGTATTTTGGGGCGTTAGCACGCCGACTTCCTAACTGTCTACTATAATAAGCTTTGACCCACTCCAAAGAGGAAGGAGCGTTCGTCTCGCTCTAGTTCTTATAATTGTCGCTAGGTGGTTACGGACCTTGCTATAAGTTTGTTACTTCTGGTTTTTTTACTACAATGAAGATGATGGATAGATCAAAATTTCTTAAAAAGAAAAGGAAAAAAGACCCAATGACAGAACATGCGCTCTATGGACTTGTGGGGAAAATGTTGGCAATCTCGGGCATCTCATGGGCAAGCAACTAACCATTTAGCTAGCCAAATATTTGGTGAGGCAAAGTTTTGCTAAAACCAAACTTATCATACTCTTGGAATCTCTCTTTTTTTATTAGCGGCAACTCTGGTATAAATAGTTGAGAACACCGCTCAGCATTGATAGCTATCTCAAAAAACAATCTACAACCGCATACTGACCAAGATATGACTGGTCATATTCGATCCTAGCTTCATATCTGGACTATTTGAAAGGTTTTGAGCTTTTGTATATGAGAGTTAATTGGATATGCATAAGGCCTATGACAGAGTGAAATGGATATTTCTACAAAAGCTGATGCTCGGGATTTCATTGACCTTCTTATGGCTTGTGTTTCTTCTGTTAAATATAATGTCAGGTTCAATGACCAGAAGACAGAACAATTTGTTCCCACTAGGGGCCTCCGCCAGGGGGACCCTTTATCATTGTATCTATTTTTGTTGTGCGCAGAAGGGTCATCAAGTTTATTAGCTCATGCGGAGGAGGTTTCGTGGCATAGAGGGGGTAAGGGTATGCAAAAATGCATCATCAGTTTCACACTTGTTGTTCGCTGATGACTCCTTAATCCTCATGAAAGCTGATTTGATTAATGCAACCTCATTGAGACAAGTACTTGATCAATATTGTGTGAACTCTGGTTAACTGGTTAGTGATGCAAAGTGTAGCATATACTTCGGCCTAAGTGTGGATGTCCAATTAAAAGCTGACATTTATGTTGAACTTAGTATTATGACTGAAGTAATGTTTGATAAATACTTGGGGCCTCCTGCTATGGTGGGTGTGGATAGAAGTGTCAACTTATTGTATTTGGTCGAAAGAGTGATCAACAGGGTGCAAGTTTGGAAGGGAATGATCCTATCTTTAGGGGGGAAAGGAGATCCTAATTAAAGGTATAATTTAGTCTTTACCCGTGTTTGCTATGTAAGTGTTTAAGATTCCCAAGAAAATCTGTAAGGAAATCACTTGTACTATATCAGGCTTTTGGTGGGGTGATATTGAGGAGAAGAATAAGATGCACTAATGGGCATGGTGGAAGATGTGTATCCCCAAGAAGGATGGGGTATGGGGTTTAGAAATTTACATGCTTTTAATCTTGCGATGCTCGCAAAGCAGGTTTGGAGACTATTTTCAAATCCTGACTCAGTGTGTGCAAGGGTTTTGAGAGCTAAACATTATCTTGATGGAAATCTCTTGAAGGCAGGACCGAAGAAGGGATCTTCATTTATGTGGCAAAGTATTGTTGTCGGTCTCTAGACTTTCAAAAGATGGCATATTTGGAGAGTGGGATCGGGAAGTAATATCAATATCTCGAATGATCACTGGACACCGAGTAGTCAATCCAGGAAAGTTATATCTAGAAATGGATTTTTGCCTTCTGAATTGTGTTGATGAGTTGATTAATCCATGGACAGGGAGATGGGATGAAGATTTAATTCTGGACAATTTTGTTCGGTTGATGCTGAAAGAATTTTGAGGATCCCTTTGAGCACACAATTAACTGAGGATTTCATTGCCTGGCACAAGACTCGGACATACTCCTTTTTAGTCCGGTTCGCGTATTATAATGAGTGGGAACATCAATATGGTGCGACAATCAGAAGAGATGAGGTTGGACAAGTTTAACCCACTTTTGAAGATTCTCTGGAAGCTTTAAGTTTCTAGTAAAATAAAGATATTTGGTTGGAAGGCTTTACATAGGATGATACTGGGACCATGGTATGTCAGTCCTTGTGGATTGTCATATACCGGTATCTGGACAATGTCTTGTTTGTAAGGGGGGAGTTGAAGACTTGCGACACCTCATGTTACATGTGTTCGAGATAAAGAAGTGTGGAAAGCTTTGGGTCTTCAGGAAACGATCGCCCAAGCCCTTGTTTCGGACCGATCTGGTAGTGGTGTGCTTGAGAATATCCTCGGAGATCAATAGCATAATTCAACTACACTGGAACATCTCAGCTTCCAATAGTCTATCTTAATTGGAGCTTGGTACATTTGGTGACAGAGAAGGGAAGCTGCAAAGGGCGAAGGTGTGGCCATTCCTTCCCAAACATCACTCGCCATACATGCGATAACGACCAATTATGCTAGCTCTAGGAGTGCGATCTGATGTTAAATGGTCTAAACCTGGTCAAAATCTTTATAAAGTGAACGTGGATGCACGCTTCATGGAAGATGGAAGCGGAGCCACAATGGCGCTTCTTCGAAACCACTGGGGAGAAGGCTCTTACTGGGTCAACAACTCTCTTTACGCATGTGCTTGATGCCGTTGCAGCAGAAGCTTTGGCGATGGTGTGGAGCTAGCAGACCAGTGGGGGTGCTCAAATGTGATCTTTGAATTTAACTGTCTTAAGATTATCCAAGCATGCAAGGGGGAGGTTGATACCCTGCGTCCTTATTCTATTATTCTCACTGCCCAAGGGAAGGGAATAAGGTGGCACGCAAGCTTGCTAGGGCCTAGGGTTATCTATGGTTCTAATTTTGTAATTTCTTGGGCAGGTGATCCTCCGCAAAGTATCCTAGTTGAGCTTGTTAGTGATGTGACAATTATTTGATTTGAATGGAACACAACATCTTGTTTGCACTTACAAAGCAAGTCGTTGGCAGAAAATACTTGCTTCAAAACCTACGCAACCACCACTTACATATAACTTATTTTAAGCAATCATCTAAATTATAAACTACTTTCAACTAATGAATCTAGCAAATTACTCACGAGTCATTTTCATTCCGTGCAACGCTTTATGGTAATAAAGCATACTGTCAAATTATCTTCAATTATTAGATACTGGTCCTGAACCAAACCTACTCTCACCTGTCCAGTATAATGTTTCTTGACAGGTACTCCCTCCGTCCAGAAATACTATATATCTAGAACTAAAATACATCTAGATACATCCATTTCCCCGACAAGTATTTCCGGACGGAGGGAGTAGGTTGCATCTATAGACATCACAACATTTAATTTTAGGCAAGTACCAGCGCAAGATTAAACAAGATATCTCAATTAAAAGGGCAGCTTGTAGTCAAACCCCGAAAGGGTTTGGGATATGCCGAAAGTACGGCTTACAAATGGAGCAAAGTTTGAATCTGGAATTCACATCCATAAGCCTTCTAGCGATCAAGTGTCAACTGCTACTACTATCCGAACACTACTACCCTAACCACGGACACTATACCATCCAAAAAATTGCTCCCAGCCAAACCTGTTGTCACCTATCCAATATCAGGTTTCTTCACTCACAAAAAGTCAACCCTGCTGCACAACGATCTGACTGAAAGCCCACGTCAACAGAAGAACATCGAACTGCACACATCAGCATGCAGCCGTGGCAGTTCCGGGACTGTTGCTGCTGTTGACGACGAAGGGACACCACTCCCAGATGAAGTATCAGCAAACTCCTCGAATTTTATGAACTGGCTCATCTGCGCTGCTGCAAGGTGGGCGTAACAGATAGGTGCCACTGGAGAATATGAAAAACACAGTATTGTTCAAATGTCACGACACACTTAAAAATACAAAAGGAAGTGCATTGTGATATACTACATGTCAACATACCCACAGATATTGCAGTGGTGCTCCTCTGGTACCTGAGCAACAAGCACAAGAATAATATCATCCACCAAACTCATAAGAAAGTAAAGAAACACCACGTACTGTACAGTAACAGATTGGGAAATAGCCGTGTACTTACACATAGGAAAGGGAAAGAACTAGGCTCTGGAGTTCATCTGGTGAGAAACCAATCTGATCAAGCAAGACATGATAATGGGTGGGCCTTGAGGTGCCCTACGAGGGAGCAAACATTTCACAGTATTTAGGATGCCAAATATACACAGCACATGAAAAGTCTGACAGATGGTAATATGCATAACCAGCCACTAATTCTACAGTATTTAGGATGCCAAATAAAGCCTGCCAGATAACTATGCAATCAACAGTCGAATCACAAACTGCTTGAAATGATGCAATTTCCAAAATATTGGGTTGGTAAGCAGGGAGACTTACTATAGGTCCCGCATGAGCACACATGTAGAAATCATACTGTTTCGGATGAACAATACCCTTGTCCACTACAGTCCCTGTTCATAAAGCCAGAATGCAATTTAGTTCCTTAAATTGTTCTCTTTTCTTTGGTGCGGATGCGAAGTGCTCCGCTATGTTTTCACATAGGACAATTGCATACCAGCTGGAACATTATCTGGTGCGTCAGCTTGGAACAGTTTCGTGTGGTGATTCTTTTGAGCAATAATAACTGTAATCTTTGGAGGTGGCCCCTGACCCATATTCTGGTAAGCCTGCATCATTAAATTCTGTAAAAAAGAACATTTCCAGAAAAAGTTTCCCAAGCCAAATAAGTGCCAAGGACAACCTTTATTATTTGATCAACCTCGAGATTCAGTACTTGGCTAAACTGAGACTCACTCACACCATCCCTGCATATGTTGATCACATAAGAAAATGATGGACGAATTCAGAATACTGGTAACTAGTTAGTGCAGAAAACATGCAGCTGAAACACAGGAGACAACAAAGACAAAGTTCTAATTTATGATGTCAATGCATTGAACAGTGCTATTGTTTCCACATACAAACAGCAAGCTAAGCTTGGGCTTTTGCATGTGGAGGGAAATAATTCGTTCACAATATCAAGTTCTTGTGTGGAATACCACGACTTTTTAAAATTATATAAGAAGCTACATAAATAAGTTCAAACAAGATGATGATTACTTAGAATGTAGCCTCTGTGGAAGTAAAGTCAACAGTCGATCATGAACTACAAAAACTGGTTGTTTTAAACTTTTAATAGAAAATAGGTGTGCTAATACAAAGAAATCGTAAATATAGCAACACACACTAATAAATAAATATATATCTATTTTTTAACACGCAAAAGTGGAATAGATAATGCAGCATATTTATCGTAAACTTCTACATGAGATTTTGTGCATGTCATTTTGATATGTTTCATGGGTGCCAACACTGCCACTACCATACTTAATTCTTGATTATAAAAGAAAATAAATTAAAGGCAGAAAGAAAAAATGGTTTAGTAGTTCCAGTCCCTTTTTCTGTACATAGATAACTAAACGCTTGTGTGACGGAGATCGCTCTTTGTGGAACAGAAAAAAATACTACCAAATGTGTCTTTCCTTTTTAAGGCTACACCAAGCTTTGATAATCCAAGCAAATAATTCTATGAGAAAACTTAACATACCTAAGGCCATCGGCATAACTATCAGAATGTAAATTCCAAAAAATATCTATAACATGTCATGCCAATAATAATAAATACCTGAAGATGATTATCTGCTCTGGCTTTCTTTGTTGACTGGTTGTGTAGAAGTCTAGTAGAAGTTCCCTGGAATGCAAAGTGAAAGCAAAAATATGTGACAGGTTTAGAACAACATACATGGTACAATATGACTAAAAGAATGCCAGGTGTAAACAGAAATAACAGGTGATAAGTCTACAGTACCTTATTATACCATCATCCTTTCCATTATCCAGTGGCTTAAAAAGAGAATCAATCATCTCAACCTTTGGAGACTGGGTCCGTACAGATGCCCTGTAGCGTGATATTAGTGGCCAACATCTAGATCCAACAACCTGTAGCATATGCAGGGTAAATAAAAATCCCACAATGGTACAACAAGAAAGCAAGTTTTATCATACATACTGCTAAATCAGATGTTCAAAATAGTGATTCAAAAGTGATGGATTTTGCTATTGTTCATTGAATGGTGCAGGCCCTTTTTATAAATTGTACAGACTATTTGTGCTACATATCCGTCTAAACTATGCAGCTACTTTTAGGAGTACTCAAAGGGATGGAAACACAAGATATTTGCTTGATGCAAGTACTGCAAGAGAGGGAAGAAGACATACAGCAGCAATTGATGGTATATCTGATCGACCTGGAGAACCATGTGAAACATCCATTCCCAAAATTATTGTGGGTATCTTATTGATAACTGGAATCTTACGGCTATGCTCCAGTGCCAGCTTAGAGTTCATTCCACCAAGCTATTAACAGAAATAAACATGTTAAGAGTTCATCCTACCAAGCTATTGTAAGTGAGGTAAGACAGTTGGGTCAAACCTAACAGGCACAATCAGATAAAGAGACAAGTATATGTACCTTAGCATTGATCTTTAGAAGAACATTGGTGAAGTATTGATCATTCATCTTAGTACTAGGAACAATGCATTGAGTGACAATACCCATCTCATGAAGATTTTTCTTCTTCCATGGGCCTTCAAAAGAGTAAAAGAAGATTGTTACATGAAGATCCACGAGCAGCAAAAGAATATTGTTTAACATATTACCATAAATATCACAATTCTTCCTCTCTGGTAAAACACATAGCAGAAATTCCGGAGGACCAGGAAGGTTTGCTTTAACTTTTTCGAACATCCTTTCAACTCTTACAATGGGAGCACATCTCCTAGCTTGGTTATCTTCATCCACCAGGCTGTAAGGGCCTTCAATGATCTACGCAAGACAGGAGGTATAAAATATATGGCCAACAGATGTCATTACAAGACAAGCTACATGCTGTCATGCTTTACTGCGAAATAAAGGAGTCATGGAAGAACTTACAATGCCTTTGGTTCGTCCACAGTTTATCAGATCTCTTGAGATCCGGCTCATGTCACAACGAGCAGAGAAGTTCACAATTGCCCAACGCTCAATCCTGACAGGCTCAAATAGTTTCTGCAATAGTAATAAATGAAATTTAAGTTCAGTACAAAATACTTTTATTAGGTGTGCTCCGTCACAACTCACAAGTAACCAAGTAGCAACCTTGTTATTATAATTCCACCTGCCCTTGAATGGAACACAATCTTGACTATTTCCCACAACCAACTGGAATAACATATCAGAACAGTTTGAAAAGATTAGTCATGTATATAAAAAGAGCAAAATGTAAAATAGATTAGGTCTAACCATTGGTGCAGACAGAACACGACCCTCAACACGCGTGAGTTGATTATCAATTTTAATGCCACAAGAAGAAAAGATTGGGTCATCATCATATCTGTTACTTTTTACTGCCTGTAAATTGCATGTCAGTATCTAAGGAAGAAACTAAGTTGTAACATCTCAACAGAAGTCAACAAACCCACATCAGTAACAACTCTCATGCGATCCTGAGGTTTCTGTCGTGATTTTTCAACCAACGTCGTTCTTTGCTGAGAAGACAGTGCCTTCGTATAACGTTGAAGTGATATCATGTTCGCCAGCTGCACCATCAAAAGGAAGACATATATCACAACTTGGACTTTGAGTGGAGCCAGCAACTAAAACTGGTGAGACACACGTAAAGTGAATAAACAGTCAAGGCTACAACCTCAATTGGGAGATAATTTGGGCGTTTCGATTTTCCCACATCAAGACATGGCAGATAAGGCTTCTCCAAAAACACCTGCTTGGATTTAAAATATTCCTCAACAGTAATATCAACAGTTTGACCTTCACTGCTTCCACTCCGAACTTTCATGGGAAATCTGCGGAGCAATGTAATTTCGACATGACTAAAGAAGGTTGTAGAATTGTAGTGACTATTAAATAAACTAATATCTCCAGTAAAATAACGTTTGTGTTCCGGGTTGGCTCTAAACATTGGGTTTTTGCATTATGTGGAAAGGTCATAAAAGTATACATTATACAGACAATTGATGTGACAACTATATTTTTTATATCATGATTTCAGTCTATATATTTACAAAGATATTACTGCTGAAAGTTATACAAAATTAACTGTGTGAATCCTACAGCACTATGTTCTTATAACTGGAGGAAGAAAGTCGAGGCAGGTTGGACAAACAAGATATAGAAATGGAATAAGGATAGATGTGGAATAGGGGAACCCGTTTGTGAGAAAAATAATGAATAACACAATGCAGGAATAGAACCATACGTCTGTCTAGAGCAAGGCTGATCACTAAGCCCAATGATCTTAAATTCCATGTTGTTGTGTGTAGCTTTAACTCTCAGATTTTTCAACATTCTCTTTGCCTGCAAGATATATATAGATACAAGTTTGTGACAAGCATCATGAGAAGAAGAAAAAAGCAAAGAAAATATATGTTCAGTAGAAAAATAAAAGCTGGGATATCAGGCAGTGCTATAATATCATGAACCTTGGGCCAGTCAATGTCTCTAACGTCTCTGACATTTTGATTTGTAAGGAGGAAGTTGACAACAGGTCCAGGGGTCACAATCATAGTAGTCGAAACATCTGTTTAACATAGATGTGCCACATCAGTTTCTCATGATTAGCAAAGTGGATCAAAATACACAAGTCGACCGAAGAACACATACCCATGTTTAAAGATAAACCATTCATTGTAGTACGGAAGCTAGAATGGAGTCCACGACAACCACTGACTCCACCAGTTAAATCAACTAAATTTCTACTGTCATCACTAAAAAATGATTGTCTAACAAGTAGGCAACCTCTGGATACAAACAAATAATAATTACAATCAGAATGAGACTGAAGAGGTAAACAGAGTTTAAAACTACATTATCCATACCGCTTAGCCTGCTGTTGCCTTAAAACAATGTCAAGGACTCGCAGAGCATCCTGGGCATGATCCGAGTCGCTTCCTTGAAGCACTAGGGCAACTGATTTGAGGGGAATCCTTGCTGCGTAGCTTATACCCACTACAAACTGCTTTGGAAGATGTGACCTCTTTACTCGTTTCTTGTCACCCGGGCCAGGGCTTTCATGTCCTGGACTCCCACCAACAGCCCTGAAGAACAGATGAAGTTTGGGTAAGCTTCCTATTTGTATTTCTTTATCTATAAAGTGCCTCGAGCATTAACAAAATATATTATCCATGTTGCCGTTGGAAAATTTGGGACCTCAATGAGTATGATACTACAACAAATATCACTAACAGAACTAACAGCTATCCCTCCGTCCGAAAATACTTGTCATCAAAATGGATAAAAAGAGACGTATCTAGAACTAAAATACATCTAGATACATCCCCTTTTATCCAGTTTGATGACAAGTATTTCCGGACGGAGGGAGTACATAACAATCCTTTGTGGCTTAACCAAGATATATAGCAAATAAAACTTCAACGCGGCAATCCCATGGGGGTTAACTATTTCAAATAGGAAATTCAACGCAGCAATCCCATGGGGGTTGACCATTTCAAGTAGAAATTCAACGCAGCAATCCCATGGGGGATAACCATTTCAAGCAGAACTCTGTCAAATATAGGATGTTTTCCTCACTTTGGTTACCACGAGTATTTATGTGTACAAAAACAGACACAATAAAAAAGCTAGACTATGGATGAGGACAGTTGGCTACAAATGTAAAAAAAAATATCAAAAAATCCTGATAGTTGGAACTGAAATACCAGTAAGCAAACAACATGACAGCAAGAACAGGAAAGTAGGCAGTGCGGACACTAAGAACAAGAATGGGTTTCCCATAAAAAAGAACAAAAATGGATCATTATCCAACTACTTGCACTTGGCAAATTCATCAGCTCACACAGTTTGCTATGATCGACAGTACATACGTACCTTGCAGATGTTTCCTCCATGATAACAGTGAACTCGAAGTTGTTCTGTGGAAGAGGTCCAACAGTAAATAGACATTTCTCGCCATCGTATGCAAAATCCTTTCCAGCAAGCTCAGAACTGTATGTTTGCAACATTTTATCGATGACCTTCCGGCCAATGCCCTTGCCTTCAACCACCTGATCGTCATCAGATTTGATGGACACCTGCAGCATAATCACAAATTTCAGAACAGGCATTGAACTATAATTATCAAATGCTTGAGAAAAGAATAACAAATGCAGAAATTCAGAATTGTTCATTACACTGTATTGGTAGAAAACCGAATCAATCCCACTAAGCTTCACAGCAAAGTGGTTTGACAGCAACCTAATGGGCTTTCCTTCACGGCCCAAGCCAGTCCGTGCCATTGCTGTGCGTTTAACAGTGTCATTCTTATGCACTTGTACAGCTCCACCCGTTTTAGCCGCCATAATCAGGTACCTAAATGAAGTCAATTCTAAGGTCAATTGATGCAAAGAACATGAGGTGAATAGAAGTGGGACATAAACCATACACAATTTTTTCTTGGAAACAATTTGGGAAAACAATGTTGTCCATCTAGGGCAATTAAAAGGTAGGATCAAACATGACAATAAAGTGATAAAAAGGTAACATCAATCATGACAAGCACAAGGAGAAATTGGCACACGCTAAAATTGAATGTGAGAAATCTAAACACATTGTGTTCCATACAAGGCAGAACAGAGCTGTACACAGGTTAATTTTATAGTAATGTTGTTATATTCTTGATAAAAGCAAACCATGTTGGGCTCTTTGATTCACAGGATTCTGAAAATGTACGAACGGGGAAAAAACCAGGAATAGGAGGATGCATGTGCAAAACAGAAGATTGTAAAAACATAGGAATTTTGCGGAATTGGGTGTTTGACTCACAGGAATAGTAAAAGACACAGGAATCCTAAAAAGCATAGTCAAGTCAAGGTTAAACATATGCAAAGTTAAGAATAGGTTGTTATTATGCAACTTATGCCTTTGCCCTTGTTCTTTGAGCGAAGAAATGAAAAAACGAGACAGAGGTGTGAGTGGATTGTAAAATTCCTTTGTTTCTCCTCTGAAAGTCAAACCAAAGGAAAATGTGTCACCAAAGGAAAATTTCCTATTCCTATGTTTTTCCCTCCACTTCTCCTATGAATCAATGCCACAAGTTAAAAGTCAGTGCTACATTACTCTTTTATTATTTGTATGAACCTATTTTATTAAAATAATCGTAAAACAAAAAAGTTCAGTGCCAGAAATAAAAAACTAAAAGAACAAATACAAAGAGGCAACAAGCACAGCAGCTTCTTGTTTCTGGGTATTTTTCATTTTGAAGGGGATACTACTGCAGCATATGAATAGAACACTGAGGTTGTCTACTAATAGAACTAGAAGTAGCTTAACAAAACTGAAACAAAACATATCATAACTGGTAAGAACTCCACCAAGCATTAGCCCTTAACATGCAGTGCTCCTGCGTGATCTCGGAAAAAAAGTGAGCTCTCCAGATTCAGATTGTTTGTACAACCAGCAACACAAGCAGATATTTCAATATTTTCTGTCGACATATATAAATATATTTGCATCTAGATCTAAGATCTACTCCCTCCGTTCACAAATATAAGATGTTCTAACTTTTTTCTGAATCAGATGTATATAGACGCATTTTAGTGTGTTTGTTCACTCATTTCAGTCCGCATGTAGTCCATATAGAAATATCCAAAACATCTCATATTTGTGAACGGAGGGAGTACTACATTCGACCCAAAAAACTATACTAACTGCTATCATTAGTAATAGCTTGCAGTGGTCTTCCACTGTAACACTCAATCCTCGCATGTCACTAGGTCTACCGTCAGCCATTAATAAACAATGAATGGTATGCTTGTGCCCACGTATTAGCATGCAGAAGGAACATGGAATGAATACAACTACAACAACATGTACACATAAACTCAAGTCCGTCCAAGTAGCAATCAGCACTTCAGGACCAGTTGCTGAGGCATATGGTGGAGCACCCAGGAAAAGATAGATCGTGCAAAACGCCAACAACAGTAAAATGGCCGTGAACCAAAGCAATTTTGACAAAACTCAGACCAAATAAAACACCTCCATAGGTTGATGTTTAAACCTTGGGAACAGTGGCGAAGATGCAGGATAGAAGCAGGGTATAAGAAAGTTCCAGAAACACACTACAATCATTTGAAAGTGTCCGCTAGTCCAAAAAAGTACATCCAGAACACATCAGCGTCACAAAAATCGTGAACGAAATACTATCTTAAAAGCACTGTAACAGTATTGTTCGCGACTACATAACTGTAATCTGAAAATGGTGGACCTGCTAAATCGTAACTCTACATCCAGACCAGAAACAGCATCGAGAAACGATCTGTCAATCTATCATGAAGCACAAACGGGGAAGAAACTGAATCAACTTGGTTATTTCAAAAAAAAAAAAAAAGGCGCAACCAAATCCACCGAAACAGGAGACCGGGGGAAATCAAAGCCGAATCCAAACCCTCACCACGCAAATAGAGCAAACTAGTACCAATCCAAGCCAATGTTCCTATCGATGCAGAAAGTAGGCAGCAAGTGTGGAAGCGGAGATTTATGCCACGATGAAGCAAATTCCCTTTGCAGAGTTGCAAACCCCAAACAATCGAAACTCGCGTGCACCAGCAGAGCATGAGATTATTGCACCCAAACCTCCCGGGGAAAGCAGTTCGGTCACGAAATAAGAACAAAACACCTAACCGGTCACGAAGAAAAGAACCGCGCAGAGAAATGCTTCTACTCTACCTCCGTACCAACAATCGGACGCACGCAGTAACAGGACGGTTCTAAATAAGTGACAGGACGGCCTGACGGTCTCAATCATCTAGAGATGGAAAATCGCTAGGATCAGGGGCAGCGTCTGCAATATCACACAACAATCTCGAATCAAACAACCCGGAACCCCCTAACCCCTAACCAATCACATTGGGCAGAACCCAAATCCCCCAAAACGCTCACCGAATCGAACCGAACACGCGCCGTGGAACGGAGGGAGCGAGACCAGCGCTAGCACCGGGCCCCGGAGATCGATCACACGAACCTCTCGACGCGACCGGCCTCGAATCCAAAGCAACCCAGAACCCCCGAAACGCCCGCATTGCACAGAACCAAAATCCCCTACCAGACACGCGCCGTGGAACCGGGCGAGCGCGACGAGCGCCAGCACCGCGCTCTGAAATCGAATGCACAAACATCTCGAACCCAACTACCTAGAGTCGGAGCAACACGAAATCGAAGAACACCTCGCATTTCACAGAACCAATCCCACCCCCAAAACCCCACATGTGCGAGCCACAAAAACCCTCAAAAAACCCACGGCGGATCGAACCAGGCGCTGCGGAACCCAGCGATGTGAGCGCGAGCAGACACGAACTCACCTTCCAGAGCTCGCCCGGAGATGCGGAACCCTCTCGCCTCCGCCCTCTCCGCCTCCGCGCCCTTAGGGAGGTGGATGGAAGGGGAGAGGTGAAAAAGGAAGGCGGGGCGGAGGACGCCAGACGGCGGGGGCTGGGATTTGGGAAGAAATGGGAATGGGTCTGACTATAAGTTGGCCTGCGCTTCGGGCCTTCTCCGCACCGTGAGCTCTGGAAGGATCTGGTCCGTCGGTTTGAAGATAGACGGCTGCTTACGGTGGGTTTTTCCTCTTTTTCTGAACGGGTTTTTCGGTGGCTAGTTTTGTGAACCGGATATGCTAAACGGCTGAACCACAGCGGGGCAACCAGCCAAGCTCGTTTATTCGGAAGAAGAAGAAAACAAAAGCGGCATGGCGCAAGCGTGTCTCGCTGAGACGCGATGGGGCAAAATTTCGTGTTTTGACCCTTTTTACAAAGAAATTCGAGATCTGACCCCTGTCTGAAACTATTTTGGGATCTGACCCTTTTGACTACCGCGAGGAGGGCCGGCGGTAGGTTTGCACGTCCTACCGCCATCATCAGTGGCGGTAGGCCCTCTAACGGCGACTGACGGCCGTCGGCGCGTACTGACGGGGGAAGGGCCTACCGCCACAGCCTGAGGCGGTAGGGTTCGGTGGCCTACCGCCCGAGGTGGTGGCGGTAGGTGCCGAAGAGGCAAGTGATGCTGCGGGCGGGCCCTACCCCACCCACCAGCCCGTTCTTCCTCCTCCCCTCGACTCGAACAGAGTCGAGCGCCGCCTCTCTCCTCATCCCGATCCCCTCCCTCGATCTCCCTCTTTCCTCCACCATTTTCGCGGATCTTTGGGGCAAATCGAAGAGGCCGGTAAGCTCCTCCATTCCCTCCAATCAGTTTTCGCAATGGTTTTTTATTTTTGAAGTTATTTTTGGCACTAGGTGCAACCTAGGTTTTGGTGTTGATTTTTTTATGATGTTTTAGTTGTTTAGGAGTATATGATTTAGTAGTAGGCCTATGTGAGGATGTGTGGGTGAAACAATTGCAACATATGTGAGGATATGTTGGTGAATGCATATATGTTGGTCCATTTTATTTTGTGATGTATATATGAATTTTATAAGAAATCTTTCTGTATGTTGAATGCAAGATTGTGAGGATAAAGGCATAACAAAATTCGTAGATGGTTAATGTATTGCAAATTTGTGAAGATGTATGTTTTGCAAAATTGGTAGGTGGTTAATGCATAGTGTGAAAATGTGTGTATTTCTATTTCATATAGTTGCAAATGTATGAACCCTAGGTTTAGTCTTTCTTATAGCCATACGAGGAACCCTCTCTAGTTGATATGATGAACCCTAGAACCTAGATGAACCCTAGGTTTAGTCTTTCTTATAGCCATATGTGATGATTTATTGTGTGAATATTTTAGATATTTGTTTTGCTTGCATTAGAACAAATATTGATGTTTAATTAACTTTATCCAATCAATGCTTATATAAGGAACATGGCGCCACCACCATCAATTGACGAGGATGATGACTATGAAAACCCACTTGAGGAAGCCATCTGTGCTCAAAGAGTGAGGCTGAGCGAACGGGAGGTGTGCAACCTATGGGACAACTTTCTGCCACGTGCTGAGTTGATCGGGGCGCCATTCGTGACCCATCTGACAAGTACCATGATCGATCGACATGTCATGGTATGTTATTAGTGTAGAATCCACGGAATTGTTAATAGTTTAAATAATCCATACTTATCAATTGATATGTTTTTCTTATTCAGAAATTGCCAAAGAGCCTATCTGAGAGTTGTGGCATCGAGGCTGATGAAGAAGGCTATGCTGGAATACGCCTTACCGCAAGGGGGCCCGTCACTACTTGTGCGAACGGCGTGGAAACGGACGGTCGCACACATTTAAGCACAGATGGGTGGAAGAGCTTCCTCGTTGACAAGCATCTTCATGTTGGACAGGCCATCCTTATTACTATCAGGAAGACCAACCGTCAAGGCTTGAAGATGATGATCGTCATCGATATCATCTAAACTATATATGTGTGTGGCTGCTGATGATCGTCATGTTTGATTGCTACCTATTTTGGCTTCGTGAAACTATTTGGATGTGATCAAACTATGTTATGTTTATGTCTATGAAATTGTAATCAAACTATGTTATGTTTATGTCTATGAAATTATGATCAAACTATGTTATTTGGTACTTGTTTCTTAATCTGTAATGGCGAAACTAATTATGCTTATGTCTATGAAATTGTGCCTATTGGTTCTTATGTTCAGGGCCCTTGCATATTTCTATGAAATTGTGATCACACTTTTTGGATGTGATCAAACTTCTTATGTCTATAAAATTTTACACGAAACACAGGACCCTACCCAGGACGCTTGCATATCTCGTTACAGAAGGCATGCATGGCAAAACCCTGCCACACCTTACCGCCAGATCCCCTGGCGGTAGGGTTAGACAGCTTACCGCCTGGTTGTCTGGCGGTAAGGTACTTATCCACGTCAGCGCGCGGTGACGGCCCCCGTCTTCCTCCATCACACCCTACCGCCAGGGTATCGGGCGGTAGCCTGTCTAACCCTACCGCCAAGGGCTCTGGCGGTAGCAAAAGGGTCAAATCCCGATTTTTTTTCGAACGGGGGTCAGATCTTGATTTTGTTTGCAAAAAGGGTCAAAACACGAAATTCAGCCACACGATGGTGCGTGCTTGTTGGTGGAAGCCTTTGGTCGCTGACACGTGGGCCAGGCCAGCGACGTCGGTCAGAGGATCCAGTTTGCGGGTGGGGCTCGACCGGTGGCGAGGGATCCACTCCACAGCACGGCAAGACGGGCGGCGCTGTTGACGCCTCGCACGACCAAGCAGAAGTGGATCCTTGGCCAACTGCGCTGACCCATTTCTTCGGGAGGTTATTTTCGTTTAACCACGTCTCAACAGATGTGAATACAAATTCTTTTTTCTCAGGGCAACTTTTTTTTTGCGGGATCACTTGTATTACTCAAATAATAATGTCTTTACAATCATCAAG